GCACATATGTTGCCATCCTCTGCTTTGTGTGATAGCAGACTGATTCTGAACTGTCCATTCAACAAATGATGACATCTTCTCTGAGCTCAGGAAACTGAAGTGGGCATCGGTTACTATTTTCTGAAACTTTATAGAATAAGAACTCATAAAAGAAATCACAACAATAAGTTAATTCTCATCATCCTCTGTGTGTTTAGTGTCAATTAGAAAACGTTATAAAGCAGGCAGTCTGAAACAATATGGAGAATAACACAATTGTTACTACAAGCATGTGTTTTCATACCAGTGTTAACATTTAGCTCCAAGTCAAGATAAAGTCTTAGTATGTTACAGGAAAGCATTGCATTGTAACACCGCACCCTCCCCCACAAGGTTTTTGTGTGCAAGTGTGTGTCTGTCTGTGTGACCACATGCTGTCAGTGATACCATCACAACTGAGCAAGACGCTGTCACAAAACGTTGCTGGTGTGTAGCTGAGGATCAAAATGAAGGCTGAGTTTGAAAACAAGTTTTCACTTGTTCGCAATAAATTTCATTTCATTCTAATTTACTGTTTCATTGAAATGAAACTGAGCAAAGGTTCAGTCAGGAACTTGCCTCTTAAAGGTACAGTGTGTAGAATTTAGTGATATCTAGTGTTGAAGTTGCATGTTGCAGCTGAACACCCCTCACCTCACCCTCTCCTTCTAAACATGAAAAAGAACCTGTAGCTTCAGTTGTCATTAAAACTCAAAAGGTTTTAGTTTGTCCAGTCTGGACTAATGTAAAAAACATGGCAGCCTCCGTAGAGAGGGTCCCCTCGATGTAAATATAAAGTATTTAAATATAAAGGGCCTTTTATGGGTTAAAGAAAACTACAATTCATACAATTTCAACTTGTGAAAACATGATGAGGATTATTCTACATAAGATTTCTGCCAATAGATCCCTTTCACCTAAATCTTACACACTGGACCTTTAAGTCACATGCACATTTCGTGTGATTCTCTATTTTCATCCAATCACAACCTGACACACCCGCCTGTAGCCAATCAGCTGTAAGCTGCCAAGTTTAAAATGTTCTCTCTCCTGCCTGTCATTCAGCTGTCAGTTCAGTACCACTTTAAGTATTAATGTAATAATAAAGTACTGTGTATTCATGCAATACATTAATATGAGTACTGATGTTTATGATGTGGTAACAACTACTGTGTACTGGTAATACTTTAATATGATTACGAAGTACTCATGGAGTGACAATTTAGCCTGTATTTGGCAACTGGGTACTTTTACATGTAAGCTGAGTTGGGTAGGTTTGGAGTTTACACACGGACTTAGACTGTCTCATGCAACATTACAAATGCAGGATACAGGATTTGTCATTGTTCCAGTGTGACAGAGCCACATTGTTATGTGTTTGAATCAGGTCTGCGTCAGGACTCAAAGGTGCCTTTTGTTGCCTCCTGTTTTGAGTGTCAACAAGATCAAATGTCTTTTGTCAAGAAATCTGACGTAAGGTTCTTGCAAGTATCACCGTCCACAACTTTCACCAACAAAACTGAACAACAACCCAAGTATTTGGGATGAAAAGGAAATGAACCTGACACATGTTGAGACTTTTATTTTAGGGGAGTAGAGGCAGTAAACATGATCAGAAATATGGGGATACTGAAAAAGTATTTAAATTGGTTGAAGGGGACCAACAAGACCACACATGTCCAAAACACTGCTGCACAACTGGTGACGAGACTCATCTGATAAAGGAAGAGATTTCATAGAAAGTGAACTTTAAAGAGTTTTTAATCAGCTACAGGAAAAGCTTGTAGAGCAGGGACTCTCCACACTAACATGATACTTTACCGAGTAAAGTACCTGCATTGATAGCTTAACTGCAGCTGACGCACAAAGTCTCATGGTTCACTTGTCATGTTTTAGTTTTATTTTGCTTTTCTCAGAACAAACTTATATCAACAAAAGTACCTTGATGAGGATGATAGCTATGTCAAGTAGTCCCGGAATGACTGGTAAACATTTGAAGATGTTTGGGTTGAACAGGCCTCTGGTATTTCTACGTCACTGTCATTCATGATGTTTTTCTAAATAAGTACTTGAAGGTATTGATTGTTCCTATGATACAGTTAAGGTGTATTACACACATTACGTCATGGGCAACATTAGTTTGAGTTGAAATATCCAAGAAATTCTATCTATTGATCTGTTATATTTAAAATAAAATTAAGTATCTGTTCTTTAAACAGATGTACAACTATCGAAAAAACTGCGTTAGTTAATGTAACAATTAAATACGTGCCATGTGAATATGATGATTATCTCCCACGATGTACGTCTTGAACATAAAACACATAAATATGTAATGTAACATGGCTTGTTCTAATGTGCACACTATTCAAAAGGATGGTGGTTATTTGATGGTTAATTAAAATGTAGTGTTTAACAGATGACCTTAAAAACAGGGATTAGATAACAGTGCAACTAAAATGACCAAAAATTTATTTTAGTTTAGCTCATATTTCTGTGTACCTCATACTCTATTTTGAGTTTTTTAGTTTTCCCCTTATACTTTATTCAATGTAGTGTATAACATAACATACAGAATTTCAAGATCCATGTTTTTTTCCCCCATTTTTAGTAAATCACAATGAAAATGAAAAACACACAAACACTGAAAAGAAAACCATCACAACAGCACAAACAATAAGTAAATAAATAAAAGAGAAAAAACAAGTACCAACAGGCCCCTTCACCCCCCCCCCATCCAGATAGCTTAAACAATTAAATAAAGTTCAGTAGCACAGTAGTTGTGTTGTGTTGTGAAGCTACAGTGTGATGATACAGTGTTAAATTAATAAATATAGCATAAAAGACAGGTCAGTCTCACTCGTAGCCCGATTGTTAAAATATCAAATGAAAGGTTGCCATTTATTACCTTAAATGATACTTAGATCCCCTGAGTGCTTATTTATTAGTGTGCTCAAGAAAAACACCACATCCGTTAGCCAATCAGACTGAGATGGTGGGATAGGAGCAAGCAGCATTCTACGAAGTGCCAAAAGAGTGATGAAGGCAATAATGCTTTAGTCCCATATTGGGTAGATTTGGCTGGCACTCCAGAGATTGCTAGGAGGGGGCTTTGTTGTATTTTTATCTCCAGAATTTTGTGTCAACAACATAGCGCCAGAAGTGCTACTTTGAGTTTTTGAAAAAACGACCCTTAGCCTAACCCATTTTGAAATCATGAATTTCTGAGATTTTTCAAAACAAATTGGTGTCAGTTTGTGCTACTAATAAATGAAGGTGTTTAAATACATTTCTGGATAATATAGGCCCCAAAACACACAGTCATACTTCACGACAGCAGTTTTTCTTTTAGAATCAGTCGCTCAATAATTCTACGTTGAAGAGAATTGGGATTGGCCCTTTCTGGGGCAATAGGAAGGGACGTCATTAAAAACCAAGGCAGGCTGCAGCACATGCAGCTAAACATCTTTTCCCTTTTGGTTTTAGGGGTTTATAATTCATCGAAAACTGGGGGGGGTTCATACTCAAGACATCATTTGGATATAATTACATTAATAAAGGGAGAAACTCTGAAAACATTTTCAGGTACAGCACTTACTGCCTCTGATCATCAGGTGCCGTCTCTGCAGCACATTTACACCTCAGGTCCAGGAGTTCTGCGTCGGACCTGTTCAGACGCACGTTACACATACAACAGAAATAAACTGTCTCTCAGGGAACAGAATGTCTGTCTTGTGCAAGTAAGGTGTTAACTCCACATGTCAATTCAACAGTCTGTCCTTTGTTGGCACAACAGCGCACCCTTGTGTCCAAAACCGAGTTTCAGCACGTCTCCTTCCAGACACCATGAGCTCAAGCAAAACCACAGACTGTAACCACACTGTACATATACATGGAGTGCATATATATTCCCACCACAGAGGAGGCAGGACTAACTTTCCTCTCCTCGCTCCCTACCACTCAAAGTGTTTTCCAACCTGACTCATGGTTTCCCATTGACGCTTCTGTTAGAAGTGGAGTTCTTGTGGCTCAACCAGGACGACAGGAGGCTGCGAGGCCTCGGTTGCCGCGCAGGGGCCTGCGCTAGGCGGACCATGCGCGGCGAACGCCACACCTTAATGGTAGAGTCATCGCTGGCGGACAGCAGCAGCTCTTGATCGGAGGGGCTGAATGCCACCGAGTTCACCACGTCGTCGTGCGCCAGACGCGCCAGGCAGATGTTATAGTGACGGTCCCAGATGTAGCCGTGCTTGTCCTCAGCTCCACTACAGGAAAGAGAGTGGAGGGATGGGTCAGCACAGCCTTCACAACAAAATCATTTCAACACTGCTGTCAGGTTATGTGTTTCAATCTGTCATTATATGGGCTAAATCAGAAGATTACATTCATCATCAATAAACCTTTCAAAATAGGTGTTAGGTGGGTAATCTTAAGAAAAAGGAGGAAATCATGTGTGACTCATATAAGATTATATGATTATTATAAAAAGAGACAAAAGAGCTTTTACTACAACATGAGCATCCATAATGTGGTGACAGATTTCCCACCACTATTCATACGTGACCACTAAGTACACGGTCTCACCTGGCAACAAAGTCCCTGCTAACATCAAGGAAGATGAAGAAGCACTCGTCGTTGGGAGTGAAGGCACGGTGAGCGCGCAGACTTCTTCTCTCCTCCCTCAAGCTCTTTAGATCGATGACATGCAGGTCTATCTCCTCTGCGATGGGAGGTGGAGACATGGGGTCGGAGATAACACATCCAGCAGGCCAAGCCCGACTGTTTACATAAAGGTACCTGCTCAACGAAGAGATGAAGACAAGTTAGGGTTGAAAAGACATTTCTGATCTGCTGCAGTAACACTCAGACATCTGTATAGTATTGATATGTGCTAATAATCTATTTTGAGCTTTTGAGGTTTAGAAAATATTATGCGATGCTACATTACATGGCCAAATGTATGCAGACAAGCTTACTAGATTCAAGATTATTAGATTCAAATTGGATGACGCGATATGTCATTGAAGATACTGGACATTCATTATACTACTACTATACTAATACCGCCACACTACTGTAAAGGCTCGGTTGAACATATTTCCCATTGACACAAGAGCGTTGGTGTGGTCAAACTCTGATGTTTGATAATAAGGCCTCGCTGTGAAAAGTGTGCAATTACTTACTTTATATAAATATAATAATTTCTACATTCAATATCTATTACTTTATGTTTATTTACCTGTGGTCTGGAGAAAGACCCATTCCAATAATGTGTCCATGGATATCAATAACATGGTCCAGGGAATCAAAAAACTCCTCGGAGCTACGCTCTTTACCAAGGACAGGACCAGAGGTTGTCATCTGGTCGGGCTTGATCCGCTTAATACCTGGAAACAAAGATCAACTGCCACATGAGGAGACTTCTATCTACACATTTCATAAATGTGTTGCATTGTGTTAATGTCATGAATTGGTTTATTCCTCGCAGCTTGGAAACAATACCTATCTGGTGAGGGGAGTATGTAAGGCTTCCGGTGGTGAAGAGCAAGTAGGTTTTGTCTTCTTCCCCGGACTCAGGCGGCTCTTTGAGGCTGCAGTCGGGTGCCTTCGTGTGGGTTTTGCCCATAATCTTAGCCACGTGGGTTTCAATCGCCAGGTCCCTGGGCCCGACTTTTTTACGACTCTGACAAAAACGAGAGAGACACGTGGCAGAATGAAGAATATTATCTTTAAAAACATGGAACAAAATGCTCCAGATTGTTTACACGCAGCTCACTTGTATAACATGCTCCATGTTTGATATAGTTGGCTGAGGGGCACGGGCAGCGGTAAAGCCTTGACACCTCGCCTCCCTCTGACACTCATCCTCTGCTGCTTCCTCGTCGTCTTCATCGCTGCCGGAGGTTCCCAGGTCAAAGAGGAGGGGCTGGTGCTTCCGCTGTGGCCCTTTCTGCCTCTGAGCCTGAGACTGGGCCTCATAATCCAGCACCAAATCCGGGTTGTCATGACGACGGCAGTGGGCCACCATCACTGTGCGGATGGTGCTTGCGTTAATGTTCTGGATCTTAAAAAGGCGCTTGACCACGTTGACATTCTCTGATTCGATATCCTGTCGCAGAAAATAAAAGTTTGAGAAGCAGAGAAAGACTTTGAGGGAGAGTTTTCACACAGTTAAACACAATGGCACCTGCAAGTTTCCAAAAAATGTATGGAATTGGTTTAATACAAAGCAAAAGCAAATTTTCTAATTTAACCTGATTATACCATTTACTGTACATTTGAAAAGTAATAAAGTGTTTTATAGCAATGATGAATGCATGAAAGCAAAGAGGACATGCAGTTGAAAGGTTTTTAAATACCTGACAAACACAAGCTATATTTTCCCTCACCTGGAAAGCTTTATTGAGCCACAGCACAGAGCATGAGGTCATGTTGCCGATCCAGTGCAAGTTTCCAGAGATCAGGTGGGTCTCATTCAGCCAGCAGCCGAACACATCGTACGGCTTGTTCCTTACCCGAGACAACAGTGTGTAATTTTCTGTGATGGCACAAAGAAGGAAAGTGAGAGCGAGATAGTGACAAGTAATTTAAAACATAGCTGCAATAAAACAGAGCTTGATTTTTGGCCAGTCGACAGTTTTATATGACAATTATCATATCAGTTGTCTGTAAACTTTAATCAGGCTGAGAGTGTTTCATAAAGCTGGGAATCAACATATTTAGACAATCTAAGAGTTTGTTTTCAGCAAACGAAGTGAAAGATGTCTGGTATACACTGCTCTTTATCCTAGAATCAAACATATCATATGGCCGTTATTACTTGATCTACTCTCAAAGGTTATGAAACATAATGAGGACTTTGTTCGAGAAAACTTCATAATATTAATGTGAAAAGTGAACATTAATTTGTCTTCAAGAGACTTCTTCAGAATAAGACGACGGCAGAGTAATTTCCCCTTTTGACTCGTACCCAGACTGATGACGGCGATTTCCCCAGAAGAGGAGTGGTGTGGGCCCAGGTAAACCCCAGACACGAGCAGCAGGCTGTCGTCAGCATTGAACTGGGAGAACTGAGTGTAGCCCCAGTTAAACTGCCGCATGCTGGAGCTGTGCACCAATGAGAGGTTGCCATCTGGTCGCTCCGTGTCCCACAGCTGCTCATGAGAAGGAAGAAGAGACGTTTGGAAATAAGGGAGAGGATAATTAGGAAGAAGAGAGCCGGGGCCAGTAACACAATAAGGAAACAACATGAAAGCTGAACAGTTTAGTAGTATAGTGTTCCCTGCATGTCTCCAGTTTGATGTAGTCGAGTTGCTTTCTCAATACAGGCAAGCACCAGCAAGTTTCAACATTTAAAAGTATGATAGAAAGATAATTATCAAAGCATAAAGGACCTTTAACTGAAACACTGAGTTCTTTACAGTTTTACAGCAGCACTTTAAGTGGTTGTGTATTGAAATCTTTTTTATTTTATAACATTGATCTGTTGTACCTTAATTTTCGAATTGTATAATGTCGGGAAGGACTCTCACTGAACCAGAAAGAAGTCCGACATTTAAGTAAGTAACCAAATAATGAAAACAATCACTCGTCACGCTGGCAGAAAGAAGGTAAATAAGATCCGGTATGAACGTTAAATCATTCAATAATTGAATCCCTACCTTAACAGTGCAGTCTTTGGAGCAGGATGAGAATCGATGACCCCTGTGAGAGAACGCTAAGTGGAGGACTTGGTCGCTGTGCTCTCTCAGTGTCTGAACCTCCACACAGGGGATACAGTCAAATAGACGCTTGAACTCCCTGTACCATGACACCGCCGCTGCAAATGAGAGATTATAAATTATTTAAAACTTCACCCGCTCTAAACATTTGTATAAAAAGTGTATTTTGTAATAAATCATTTTTCATATAAATCCCATTTGAAACACATGGTTATTAATATTCACCTGGGTGTCGGGGCACATGGTGGGGGATGCGGTAGTAGCTGTAGAACAAGTCCCTCCACAAGAACTCATCTCTAGAGACAGCCAGCCACTGTCTGCAGGTCAGACCAGCACTCAGCACAGCATCATAGGACAGACGCAGGAAGATCTCCAACACGAGGCTGTCAGGCAGAACTAGGCCACACTCCATAATAACATCCTATGCAACACACACACACACACACACACACACATTATTAATATTGTGTCTGCAAAGAGATGTTTCTGTTAATCAAACCATTCTTGATGACAACTGTTTTCTGTATGATGCAATACAACAGCACCACAAACTGCAGCTTCCAAAATGATCATATTGAATCAACACCTTTCTAAAAAAAAAACTCAAATAACACCTGAGCAGTATGACCAACATTAAGCTTTAACTAGGTGAACCTAATAAACTGCACACTAAGAGCATATTAACTAGGGCTGGGCAATAAAACAATATAAATAATAATTGTTATATAGGTTTCATCACTAGCAACGCAACAAAAATGCAATATTTATCAATATATTACTTACACGGTGTGTCAGCATGGTGAGGAAGAAGAACACATTCACACATTGCTTTATGAAATGTTTTACTAAAAATAAGCCTTTAAACTTCACAGAAATAATAATGTGACTGATATAAAAAAAATTATTTTCATATGATTATTGGCCATTACCTCCAGCCCAGACTAACAGATATCAAATGAAGAGAGCATGACATCAGTCAGAAAGTTAAATCTTTCTGTGCAAACATCAGGAGCCTGAGGTCAATCCTCTGTGATCTGTGTCTGACAGCTGATAGTTCACACTACTGAAGTAACAGGCAGCACTGAGCTGTGCGTCCCAAAAATACCAGCGACGTGTCAGATCCCTGACACTCAACTTAAATCCTGTACAACGTGTTTCTCATTGTGCGTAGATCCTGGGGCAGAGCCACGTTAGCGTGGCATCAAACAATCGTGTCACATTCATCACTTCATGTGGCGATCACTCTATAAAAATAACCAGGGGTCTCGTGGCTCCGCACATTCCCTCCGATCTCCGCTGAATCAAACCTCCGTGTGTAGATGACCAAACATGGACATTTTAGTCGCTGAGCGTGAAAGTTCGTAACACATTTTAACAGAGAGAAGCCAGAGCCTCGGTGCTGACCCGTGAAACATTAACAACCCCGTCCCCTGATAACCAGCGGGTGTTTGTTGTAAACCACTCGGTTTACTGCTAAGCTAGCCACGGACACCTATCCAGCTAACGTTAAGCTAGCTGTTAGCCTGGATTTGTTTTCAACTTTTCTCTCCGTCCTACGACTTCATTTCACCGACTCGCGGTTGGTTTGATACATCAGCGCCATGACGCCATTAGTTAACCACTTAAGTTCAGTGCAAAGTTACTGACATGACCTGAGACTCACCTGCTGGGTCGAATTAGGCAGAGGTTGAAATCAAACAGCTAGCTAGCGCTAAGAGCTAGCAGCACAGAAATGACAACAACCCCCCCGGTGTTGTGTGGAGCCAGCCAGACTCTATCAGCAGATAACAGGAGCATCGATGCAGCAAGAGAAAGACCAACTCAATCCATCCGGAGTTTAATGAAATATGTTTATCGTCAGAAAATCATCTCAAGAGCAACACGGTATCTGTTTAATATTTATTCAACATCATCACTGGGTCAAAGGTCTTTTAATGTTCAAACCCTCATTATTCAAAAGCTCCAACAGCAAACAAATTAGAAGTGAAGTAATAAAAACAAACAGGAGTATTAATAAGATAAATACTGTAATTGTAATAATAGTGATAAATACTATAATACTAACAGTATCAGTAAAATATTGTATTTGTATCAATATATTTGAATCAAAAAAGATAATTGTAATTACTGTGCGGGATGGTCAATTTATGATTTTGATGGGGGTAATTCAACCTTCATTATATACTGCTATAGTAGAATTTAAAATAGTGTATTGAAATCTATTTGTTATGATATAATCCGTATTAACATTCTTAGTCTGCCAAGAAACTAAACTAAATGTGTTTGTGTTGAAGTACAGTGCAAAAAAAGTACTTGAGTGAATGTACTTGGTTACTTTCCATCAAGATGTTGAGGTAACAGCCAGCAATGTTATATTTCAAGTGTACCACAAAACAGATTAAAACACATCTAACATCATACATCTGAGGAGAAAAGCATGGACAGATTTACTGTGTGTTTTTCTTTCTTTTATTTATTAATATTAAGCACTCACCAATCTTAATAATGATGGTAACCCTAAACATGTTTGTAATAATTTGGGGACAGAAGACCACAATACACTAAAATACTTTTATTTTCTTTATTTGTCACAATCTCATTTCAACTTTAAAGCATTTATATTGTTGAGGGCTGCAGATTATGAAGATTGAAAAATTTAAAGAAATTATAAAATGTAATAATGTCTCCAATTAGCTTTTAAATATTATATTCCAAAAACAAACTTTTATTTAAATTTATGTTGTCTGCATTGAATAACAAAGATCCCTTATCAATGTTGTTGTGATCACATTTAGTGTCAGAAATAACATCTTAGCATAATTTTGTTCCTTGTTTTTGTGACCATGATGTAATCACTGGAAAATATTACTGAACAACACCTGTGTCCATGCAGTAACATGATACCTCCAACAGTGAGCGTCATTCGTTTGAGCCTCAGAGGCTCTGTTAGTATAAAACGCTGTGTCATTATCATTGTTGTGTGGGTGGTCACTCATGACAACACTGACTGCACAGGAACAACAGAGCTGCTCTGCAAGACGCATGTATGAAGAGAGAAATTAAAGTGGAGGGATGCTGTGACGAATACTGTATCGTAAGTATTCCAACTTTTTTGGGGATGAGACAAAATTATAGTGAGTTTTTAAACAGGCAGATTAGTAGCAAACGGGTTTTAAGGACCAGGGAACTGTGACATATATTTTCTCAGGTGCAGCTTCATTCTCTAACAGATTTTAATCAAGTTTTACAACATGAAAATACCTTAATGTGTAAAACAGAGTGTGTTAAACCTGATAGGGGCAGGATCATGTTACCTGCTTCTGCATTTTCTCAGCAGGTAAGACTTGCTGACAATGTGGCAGATGATACAGATAGAATAATAATTCTTCCTGTTTTACTCTGTTTCTCTACAGCACTGCGTAAAATGGCCAGCTGGATAGCTTCATGCTGTGGCTCCTTAATACCGCGCAGGGTAGCAGCAGGATGACTGTCACGGTGTAAAGGTGATCACTCATTGTGTCAGATGATACAAATAAGGATTGTTGTAGTTCTGTTGGTGTAACTGTCTTTATGTTCCTCACTGTGCAGGGCAGAATGTGTGGACAGTCTCCAGATGTGATAAAGCACCACCACCAGTTTAAAAATCCTGCAGGGTGGACTGAGGAGATGCTCTCGTTTCTATGCCCGGTCATTTATCAGTGAAGTTTCTTATCATGAAGCATGTGTGTATATGTTGCTGTGCAGTTGTTTTAATGATGACTTGTCTGAAAACTCCCTGTTGGGAAGCCAGATAAAATCTGAGAACTGACAAGTGCAACACCAACTACTAACTTACTAATGCAATATAATAAACCAATGAATTAAATAAATGGCTTCTGAGTTCATCTCTTTATCAGTGACTGTACACTCTCCAGGAGAGTATCTGGCTCCATCATGTGGAAGAAACGTGTAACTATAGATAGATAGATAAAGCTGCATTTTATCTTTCCTTGTCAAATAACACCATGCTGTTGCTTCATAAATATCACTCTCCAAAGGTGAATATGCTCACAGCTTGAAGTAGAACTAGTCTTACACAACCAGCGGAATCTGTAAGGAGATCAAATGTGACATCAAATAGTTTTTTTAACTGAATTCTCCTGATTTGATCTAAAACAGTTCAGGACAAGTATTTTAGTCAGAGTCTCCAGTGCTCTGTGCTTTTCTTTGGTTATTGGGAAAAATGTAAATGTAAAGTGATATTTCCCACATATGTTTCACTTGAAATGTGGGAGCAGCTGCATGGAGGACACAAAAACCCCCAAATGAAATTTGAACATTTTATTCATTAGTTGCCAACATAGGAACAATCTCTATCTGAGTACTGACATTTCTCAGGGCGTGATATCACCCAGTGTACATTGTACAGAAGCCTCAGATAGACATCCATTATAAAATACAAAAATTACAATATTAGATGATTACTCAGTCAGAACTAGATGATTACTTCTTTTAGTTTTTTTCATCAAAAATAAATCATCATTTGTTGAGCTCCAGTATGGAAAAATACTCATCGACCTCATCAGCCTACACCCGTTTGTCACTGACGCCAAATATGCTGAGTCTTTCTTTCGAACCTTGCCTCCTTTTTTTAGCATAATTTACTGCCATTGTGAATTTCAATATTCACGGCATAAAATAAAACACAGAAAAACTAAACAGTGAAACTTTAAATAGGTAGTTCAGGTACGGGGGCTAGTGGGAGTAGGGGAGGGGTGGGGGTTTAGTAGGAGTAGGGGTGGGGTGGGGGGTTAGTGGGAGTAGGGTTGGGGT